TACTAATAAATCCGCAAAAACTAGAACGAATTGCAACCCTACATGCATATACTATACAATCGAGAGCTAGGTCTCTCCCCTTGCCTGTTAAGCTGGATTTTAAAGTACTTAATGAATTTCTGTATAAAAAAAGTAATGTTTACGGACTTAAATATTCTATAGCTAAAATAGATGCATTCTATTATAATCCTACAGATTAATATATAATATATAATCTGTAGGATTATAATAGAATGCATCTATTTTAGCTAGAGAATATTTTAGCAAGTACAGACGTATTTATATTATAACAAAAAAAATACATACTATGAAAATGAACAATCTGTGAAATTGCTAATGCAATTATTTTATTTAAACATTCCATAAAACCTACAATTTTTATTTTTCTTTAAATAACCTATAATAATTATTATATTTAGTAATATATCTGATAACTATATATTTTTTTCATCTCCTACCTGTTTTTATATCAGTTAATGGAATAAAGTTGATCTACATAATTTTTTTTCATTATAAAAGGAAAGTAAGACGTTGTACTCACTAAATATGTATACATAAAAAGAACTATCCAAGCTGACTAATTTTGTGACTCAGCCCCAAACAGTTGAACAAAGTCTTTTGTTAATATTCGTTGTTTTACGGTACTCTATATACTGTAAGCGAGAATAGTAGATACCTATTTATATTTCATAATGAAAACGTCTGGTAGCCATTTTTAGTACAAATCGATGCAGCTATTTTCAGGACTCACTGTTCTAAGTATTGACTTTAAGTAGGGCTTAGGCTGCCATCTATCCAATTTTTCCGGAGTAAATAATAATTATTCAGAAATACAGCGCCCGGAATAGCGAATATATTTTCCGTCTACAAATTAATGAGAAATACTATGATGACACTTAATATAATGATACTTAAATTATTTATAATTCACCTATAATATACTTAGGTCTAAAAACAATGTATAGTAGAATTATCAAATATATTCCATATGCTTTGTGGAAATCTGTGAGAGAAATGTTTTTTTTAAATTTTTCAATACATTTAGTTTCTTATCTGTATTTTTTTTTCTTATTTATATTAGTTCTCAGTGTTTCTGGTCGAAATCATAGTATTATGACATTTTAAAAAGTAGATAAGTAAATTTCCATCTACTCATCCTTTTGTAGTATCCGTTCTGCGGTTCATATAAATTTGTAATGATATCAAATAAATAATAAACAGTTGAAAAATAAAACAAAGAATATTAAGGTATAGACAAAATTTTTGATGACGTAACATAGAACTGTAATTACCAATAACCTAATACAGTGTAAAAATTTTGGGTTCTACGTGGCAAATGGAGTCTTCATTATGCATTGTTTTTTTTATTGTGTACAGTATAGTTAAATTATATACCTATATATATGTATATCTAAACCACATAATAATTTATATTTAATATTGTCATAGTAGTGCCCTTGTTACTTATATTGTCAAGTTTGTAATTTCAGTGGCACAAACAAAACTGTTTGTTCGGAAGATTAGCGTCCGTGATGACGTGAGACGTGTAAGTAATAAGTGCGCAAGGTGAGGTGACCAATTTTGCGAGTAATGAGCATAGTTATGTACATGCAACTTATTCACTGTGCAGAACCAGCTATACATATCCGCATAGTCCTAATACGTAGCTACTCGTGAGCCAAAATTTAAATTAATTCTGTAAGCGAAGATATTTGACTGCAAAAACAAGGCTACCGCTCGCTGTACATACCTATGTATAACAAACATGATTACAAACATTACACAATAGATGGTTTTCCTCATTTCCGTCGTGAATCTTCAAGTACTTGTGACATTACCTGTATTCTTGTTCCTTATTAGTGTGATGATCTGGACTCAGGATACAGGATCACTCGCGACGTCAACTGCGCATTTATCCCTCAGTAGTTTCCAGAAGGCAAGCGAGAGGGACCAGCCGTCGCGGCGGCGCGCGGCAGAATCGCGCGGCCTCGACCTTGGCCGTCAAACCCGCGCATGCGTCCCGCGCCGCGGTCCCCCGCACCTCGCGAGGCCCCCCTCAATTATGTCATTATATACTGGCAGTACCACGACGTTGAGTTGGCTGCTGATGTTGCCAAACACAGTTGCGCTTCGCTGGAGCTGGATCCAGATTTTAGTCCATAAACATCTAATGTAGTATTCAACATACCTATGTATACATTATTTGTGTAACTAGGTAGGTAGCTATAACAAGATGCAACTAATAATGTTATCATTGTAAGTTTTTTGTGGCACGTCGTCACGCAATTTACAGACAAAATAAGTACCTAGTCATACCTACTAAGATAAATACCTATTGAGGATGTTATTAATGAAAACTTATCCAGTCTGCGTCATATTTGTGGACATGTTTCCGTCAACACTAATATATCAGGATATTAATAACTGGCATACTGTACTGGTGCAATTTATTAATGTTATAAATAAAACATGTTTATATAAGGAGACAAAACTTATTTTTTCCACAAAAGTGTGTGTATAATAGCTATAATTCTTTTTTTTATTAAACTAAGTACACACAGTAGTTCACAAAATTGTAATAGCGGGCACTATCTTACTTTGTCTCCAATAGATTGAAGTTGCCATTGTGATACCAATAAATCTATTTTTTGTGTAGGGATTTTGGGTAATTCTATGGTAATTTTATAGTACTCATTGATTAGTATTTGTAAATTACATAGGTACTTACATAGTTCTGAGTTGCCTATAGAAATATACGGTCTTCATGTAATTGCATTTGTTGTATAAATATTAGCTTTGTGCCAGTTCGTGTAGAATATAAAATAAAATGTAAATAGAATGTAAAATAGAACTACTTATTCTGATATTCTTATGTAAAATTGGACAATTTTGAGATTATAGTGGAAAATATTTCAAACACTTACGTATACCCACTTAAGTGATCAAAGACGCTAATTGTAGTCAAGTAGTCATTGCTTGCATTTGAATAAGTGCTAATAGCTGATGCAGTTGTTTTAACTAAAAAGAAAAATGTCACTTAAATAAAAGAACAATAATTTATAAAATATTATAATTATAATTATAACGTAGTATAAAATAAAGTCGCTGTCGTTGTTTGTCCGTCCCTATGTATACTTAAATCTTTAAAACTACGAAACGGATTTTGAAGACGTTTTGTTTAATAGATAGAGTGATTCAAGAGGAAGGTATTATAAATTAAGTGATGCTTCTTTATTAAAATATAAATAAGTCAATATAGTACAATCACAGATAAGATAATATAGAAAATACTATTCAATACTAAACATTAGCCACATGTTTTGTTTGGCCGTATGGCTATAATTTCTACATTTTTGAGATTCTTCGTAGCTTTTTTTATTCTGAGACCATTTACATGCACATTTGTATTTATAACCAGTCTCAAATTCTATCAAGCAGCTTAAACTCTGTATAACGTTCATCACTTTATTCATATGTGCTGATAAACATGGGTGGAGATTCTACTTACAGTTATGGCCTTCACAACTGCTCTCCTGTTTTTAGATTACAATTTTAATTTGAGGGCACAGTTGGAATTCGAATCTAGGCACCGGCCGTCATAATTTCGAATGGAATGGGGTATCGATCGGAGGGATTAAAACATTTTATACATAGGTTACCTTGAAGGCTACATACTGATGCACTAATGGTTCCTAATTCACACAAATTGTAAGCGATTACTTGCCTACTAGAATACTGGTAGAACTAAGCTAAATTAGTTAGTAGAATCACAGATAAGAGGATTGATTGCCACATAATAATACCTGATTTAATTGAAATCTAATTGATGTGTAATTGGAATGAAACTAACCTATGTTTTAAGTTTAAATAAGAAAAATAAAGCGCCTTGAACCAACTAGCGCCATCTATTAGTAAGTTACATAAATAAAATGCAACAGATTACGACGGCATTGCTTTCATTTTTTACTATATAACATAGATCTCGCGTGCCACACCCTCGGGATGAGCAATAAGAAATAATTTTGATAGTATAATGACACACATTTCGTTTGAAATTTTAACGAGAAACATTTTCAATTTACTTGTAAATGAAGGTTGAATATCAAATGCTATTCATAATAGTGAAATTATATTCAGCAAAATAAAAGAATGACTGGAGAATAAACGGGTATTAGCGCCATCTATGTGTCCCTTTCAGAATTTTATAATCCATTATGCTAATTGGGCACACAGGCGTTTCTTAGAATTTATTATAGATGGCTCTGCTAGATGTATAAATAAAATTGGAGTGTTAGTAATATTGAAATAACCGTTGTTTTTCAGTCTATCTGTTTGTTCTGGCTAATCTCTGAAATGGTTGGACCGATTTTGACGGGACTTTTATTGGTAGGTAGTTAATGTAATAAGGACTTTAGGGTACTTTTATTTTAAAAAAATAAATTCAAATTCCACGCGGACGAAGTCGCATGTACAGCTAGTTTTAAATATTACGAAAGCGCTATCACTCCTATTTCTGTTTAGGAAATATATTTAACGAGGCTCAATATTGAATATAATTATTAAATAAAATATTTTTCTTCTTCCTAGTTTTTGTAAACTTTACCTGCATGAAAATAAAGGTTATTGTTCAGTAAAAAAAGTTTTCTAATGAGAATATTAATAAAAGTGATGATGGTGGTGACGTTAACATCGATGGTGCTCCCCAGTAATTACGTGCCTAATAACTGGCATAGGATCCGTAGGATTTATAACATATAGCGTTTGATTTAGCTTAGACACGTGCGTATTGATAGGTTTTTTCGGACTACTCCAATGCTGTTGGCTTCAGTTGGCCTTTACAGCTTCAACGGACGATAAATGGATAGATATAAAAATTAATGTAATATATTTTTTACTTAGATATTTATTAACCCTAAAGATATAATCCTAATACAATTATAAAACCTAATAAAAAGAGGAGTATAATATGAGAAAGTATTTCTTAAAAAATGTCTAATATTTTAAATTTTCGATAAATATTTGTTAGTTGGCGTAAAATTATCAAAGCCGCTAGTCGAAATTGTTGTTATTGTGTTTGGACTCTCAGGAGATTCTTCTTTCATCGTCTTTTTTTCGTTCTTTGTCCTGAAATAAGATAATAGGTAAAATGAAAATTTTGCATTATCTATGTGTATGGTATTTATATATACTAGATTTATGTGTCTATAGGAGATTGCAAGTAACAATAACCTATATTTATAACTTTTGTCTAGCACTTTCCAACATACTATAGGTTCATCAAATAAAAACATAAAATGTTTTTATTCGATGTACCTACGTAATAAAGAGATGTTATTGATTATGTTTATCTGTAAAAAGTCACTTCTGTTCATGTAATTATTTTAAAATTCAATAATATTTGTTTATTATTAAAATAATATTTTAAATGTTTAAAATAACTAATATTTAACTAAGTTTTAATGAATTATATTCACTATATATACTAATATTTCAAACGGAAATACTTAGGGAAAAAATAAATAAACTATGTAGCTATTGAACACTTTTATTCTTTTTTTAGAAAGTGAGAGAAAACTGTAATAGTTGACATTAGTTTCAATAACTTCATGGTCTAGCGGTTTTGCACGCCGCTTTATTTCCAAAGGTCGCGGGTTCGATTCCTCGCATGGTACAAACTTGTATTCATGAGTATGATTGTTTGTATAGGTCTGGGTGTTATCTACTATATGTATATTATGTAAGCATTTACAAAAAATGTATTTATATCAGTTGTCTAGTATCCATAACATAAGCTCTGCTTAGCTTGGGAGTAGATGGCGTTGTGTGAATTGTCCAGAGATACTATAGTTATAATAGATTTTACCTTTATTTAAGGAGGTACGGATAAATTTAAATATTGTATACATACATGGACTTAATCCATAGCTGAAGCAAATTGTTCACTGGCGCTTCTGCCAATAACCAAATTAGAAGTGAACTCACGCCACTCCAAAATATAGTTCCCGCTGCAGCATTCAGCTGTGATGTAAAAAACATAACAATTAGTTTAAAATAACTATCAAACTGGCTGTTTTCTGCGCGCTGCTTTTCTGAGATTTACCAATCTGGTGATAGAATTTATCTTCATGTCAAATTTCAACATTTAGCCGTGAAAAGGTAACAAGTGAGCAGTCAGGCAGACAAACACACATTTTCATTTATTAGCATGGATTTAACTGTATAATATTATCATATCTGTATTTACCCCTCCTATCGATCCCCCGTCTAATTCGATCGAATCGAAACCCTAGCGGTGCCCTCAGACTAAAGTCTTATCCGTCAGGCGGGAGTTGGCTTTCAGCCGCTCCAGAAGTCCTGAACTACACTTATTGAGAAAAAACTGTTTATAATAATAATTTTTATTACTCAAATTTTTGGCTTATTGAGCTATTTGAAAAGATATTCAATTAGTAGATATATTTCTTACCGTGTCCAATGCATCGAAATTACGAGGATTCCTGGCTATGAACACGTTACGTGTAATAAATAACGTATGAGTTAAGTATATGCCGTAAGTAAGTCGGCTGAGCGGCACCCATGGGGACCACGACAGAAATTGTTTCACCACCGCTGAAAACAAAGCAAACAAACAAAATTAAATATCCAATCTACCTCAAACCATTATATCTCATATAATAAATAATTTCATATATAAACATTTACAAAAATAGTCATAGTAAACCAACGCGGCATATCGAGGCAGGGTACTCGAGATACTGGAAGCGTTGCCACTTTGAATGGGCATACTTAACCTCTGGGAATAGCAGCTACCAGCTCTCAGGTCACAAGTAACCTCGATATGCCACGCTTAAATACTTGTCAACAACAATTTCGCTTCCGGACTGCACGGACAATCTAATTTTTTAATTTGGCGATCCGTCCCGGCTCTGCTCGTCCATTTATACACTAAAGACTTCGTCAAAAATTAATCTTGATAAATTAAATGTTTTCTATGTATATACATCGGAAACACCCCGAACATACAAACAATCATATTCATAGTTATATATATTGGTTCTGCATAATGTATCTATTGTTACAATTTACAGATTAAAAGAGTTATTTGAAAAAAAATGACTATTTATATTTCAGTTAACTTATTTTGATTTGACATACCCTTAATTATAACTTAGTGATTATTATAATAATACTAATTTATAAACACATAACTTTGTGTGTTTTTCTTGAATATACACAAGCATCACTAGATAGGTACAGTCACTATACTAATATTAGATGACTTTACTACTGCGTTTATTTCATGCAGATATATTTACAGTGGCAGTAACACTGTATTAAACGAAAAAGTTCACCTTAACCCTAACTAATTGCGATAATCGCGGTTCATTGATTTACTCTTAGATTAGCGTTAGTTTCCGAACTAAAGGTATGTGACAGAATCTAGAAAGTATAACATTAAATACACAATTTTCTTGTTCTACACTCGGTTTAGTTTTACTTAATTTTTTTAATATACTTTTGTAATATACTATTACACCCTATATATTTTATGTTTTCTTTATAATTTATTTATTATTTATTATATTTGCACCAACAATTATTAACTGCAGTATTTATGATTATGTCCGCCAAATGTAGTACTATATTATCTTCTGTATCATACACATTAAATTTAAATAAATAAATAAAATATATCTTCTCGGGCCTATGTACATACATAATCTATGGCAATATTTATACTTTAACGTTTAGTTCAGTCATTTCTCATATTATGAGATATTGTGTGTGCCCGGAAGTTTTTGCTTCACGTATAATTTTTTTTTAGTTTAAAATAGAAGGAATATTGTACTCACGGACATTACCCCAGCTACAACAGAAGACAAGTAAGGAGACACCGCACGCCCATATTGGCCTGTTGAAAGCAGCATACAATATGCCTTCTATGGGGTTGTATTCACGCCAGAGGAATGTAGCTCCGTTGATCATCACTAGCAACATTACTAACATAGCCAGGAAAGCACCAAACACCGACCATTTCTGAAAACATACTTTTATGATGTAATTGAATAGCAAATATGCCGGTAGCCCAACTGATGGTACTGTTTTCTATAATAAACAGCACAACATGGATATCCCACCAAAATAACCATGCTTGTTATCCATTGCAATTTCGACAGATAAGAAGGTTTTAGGTAATATTTCTTTACTGCTAATTTCACTCACCCTTCAACCAAAACAAATCTTGATGTTTTTAATGTACTTTTCTATTTGATTAAAGAGTTATTATTATTATCTTACAAAACAAGCAGACAAATGTACCAACGAAGTTGACTTAAAGGTCAGTTTAGTATTATGTTAGGCATTGAATAGTAATAATTGGATTTATATTCAAGTTTTATCCCTTTCATTACAAACTAAACTATGAAACCTTTCCACTTTACGATATTAGTGAATACACCTAGTGATTTCGTATATCCCTGGGATAAACGATGCTTGCAAACATTACTTGTGCGCCAGAAAAACGAGTAATAATAACAATAATAACCCTGGACTATTTCCACAGCAATATAATAATATATATTTTTTTAATGTATTCATAATATACATAGACTACCCAGACCAATAACAATAATTAAAGTCACGAATACAAATGTGTGCATCGTGAGAAAAATCTAAGCGATCATCGGAAATGCTAAACCGCTAGACCTCCGAGGTCAACAAAGTGCTATTGGTGTTGCCCACATTTGAACCACACGACCTTTGCATGTAAGTCGGGGTAGTTTGTTATTGTATTGAAGAAGTGTAGAAAATAAATAAAAACCTTAGTTATCTTGTTATCGTTTCCAGAAGATCCATATCGCACAAACAAAAAGCCACTAACAAAACCAACCATGTATGCTGCATACCTCGCGTGGCTTTTGATATACGTGACATGGAACTGCTCACTGGCTCGAGGATCTGACACAAACCTGCGCAGAAAGGTGGGTATAATTAAAAAAAAAATACTTATTTACTTATAGGCACATAGTTATTCACAATTTTAGAATAAATTTGAGATATCATAATGAAATATAATATCTCTCTTGTCTCGTCTTCATCATCATCATCAGCCCACTGCAGTCGACTGCTGAATATAGGCCTCTCCCAAGGAATGCCACTGGGCACAGTCTTATAATAAATAATTTTAATGAAATCTTTACCATATTTACAAAAACGCAAAATCTCTGTTAACTCTTCTTTAGGTATTGAGCTCTTTTCTTAATTTGAAAGAATCGAAACATTGTAACAGTTAAATGAGGTGTTTGATAGTTTTTACTTGTTGTTGAATTTTAATATTCCACTGTTAATAAACTCATGTTATCATGATGTTATAATTTGTAAGACTATATTTTTAGTCTACATTTTAGTTTACAATGTCAAACATAGTACTTTAATATAATTCCGTTGTCTATAAAGTGTACATTAAAAAAGTAAAACTTTAGCGCAAAAATACTAACAAGTAGTAAAAAGAGATAATATTATTAATTATATAGAGATTCAAGATGAGAGCAAATATATATAGTTATTTATTTCAATGCATAATAGTATTGTACATATGTAATTATTTTCAGCTCGGTTTATAGAATAAACAGGAAAATTATTAGATTTCTACAGTGATTTATATATTTTCATTGTTTTTAAAAATATCCTGTCGTACAGGGGTAATCAGTATACTACGTCAACAGTTCAACTAATGTAATAAAAGCTTACTTACGCTACGTATTTAATGATGGTAAAGTAGTCAACAATAGATCGAAACAATTACAAGGAAATTATGCAAGGCGTGGTAGGTATGTAGACAGAGGATATATAGAGAATCACTTCATAGATTTCCATGGCAATGAATCAACAGCGTGTTCTCATGTCGTAATGATGGTGTATTTGACGCACTTCTTCACATTGACACTAGTATTTACTAACGTTGGTAGATACCTACCTACTTATATAACACTTTAATTATTCTTTATAACACCTTATTACACTATATAGGTGTCCACCACGCAATAGTATCAATATTATAAATGGATCCATATTAGCGTTCACCTTCAAAACTTTCCATAGACTAAAGTAGATTTTTTGCTTAACTAACTTTCCTTACTAATTTGAAAAAAGTTGCTAATGAATTTGTTTTATTTACAATAGATAGTTTATAAATATTCGTTTTTAAATATTTTTATCATTATTTCATGCAGTTCCAGATATTTATGAACATTACATGTATGTTTACTTATTATTAACATATCCTGGTAATACATTCATATTCTACTGTTGGGCACAGGTAGGTACTATTCTTCTCATAAGATTTATATTTCTAATTGCAATCGCAAAATAATATTTTTTTTCTTGCAATAATGACGAACATATTGTACATGAATAAATTATTCCAAAAGGATTGGAACTATGCTCAAATTTCTTGCCATCGCTACGCATTATTAATCACTCGGCTTTAAATAATAGCGAGGCAAGAACGATGATTATACTCTATCTAATAATCCATAATAATATTTACCATCATTTAGCTGCATGCGACTGTACATAAAGACTACATAATTAATTAAATCGCTATTGATGCAATTTTAAACGTGTCTATAGTTTTTTTCTACGTCGTAACACTGATTCTATTCCATGTTGTGCAAATAGCGTGAATGTGAAATAAGTACCTACGTTTGAAATCTATATATAGCTAAATGCAAAATTTACTTTATGTAAACAAATGGAGTTTGAGGTTCAGTAGTTCAATAATATCTCACACATGTAAATGACTAAAGAGTTCCAAATGTTATTATATACATTTGGAACTCTTTAGTCATTTACATATTATAATTTCTGATAGTAAAGTTAAAGTAGAATAGCATATTTCCAGACTTAATCGTACGTACAGTACTTGTAAATAGTAATTACAACGCTTAAAATAAGTGGCACTTACTTTTTTATACTATGAGTATTCATTAATATAACAAATAGGAATGTATGTCTGTCTGTTAACTTTTCACAAATCAACGGCTGACAAACAAACGGCTTAATAAAATTTGGTATGAAGATAGATTATAACAAGAAGATAGGCATAGATATCTGTTATACCTATTATCTAACAATTTATTCTTAACTTGAAATGTGAGACTGTCTTTTCACTGCATTTATAGATACTATTGATAAAGTAATTAAAATTACAATACTCACTCATAATTGAAAAGCTGAACGGGGGGCAGCTTGTTGAGGTAGTTTAGTATTGCGGGGGCAACTATAGAGGCCACGGCTAATGCACCCGCACAAACGAGACCAAGTCGGGGGGAACTCTTGTATACCCAGTAGGCCAACACAGTCACCAAGAAGAAGTGGAAGTCGCAAGGAATGTACCAAGATATGACTAGACACTGGAAATATGAAGTTTTTAGTTTGCATATATACTAATATAAAGGTAGATTTAACTTGTCATAAGTTTATGTAATAAATAGATTTAAACTACACAATTCAAGATATTTAGATTTGATTTAGTTTGATACAGACTTTTGAAATCATAATTAATTTTAACATTTTTAACAGATCAGTAACAGTCTAATTAAAGTTCGTAAATTTTAGCTGAAATTTCTCTTTTTCTTTATATGTATGTATAAAGTTTATCAATTTTATTATTATACATAAAGTGTACTACCAAAAGACTAAGAAAGGTATTACCACAGATAATATATGGTATTACGAATGAAAGATCAAAGTCGCATTTTTCTCCCGGTATACTAAAAATAATTTTGTTGGTACTCACAATATGTTCACTATCGATGTAATTGTTGACCATTAGGAGATTAAGCCACCAGTTTTGGCGGCAATTCTCTGTCTCGCCAGCTATAACTCGGTTCCACAAAGGGCCCGACCCCGTGTACGGATATACAGCGCATAAATAAAATATAACCACAGCAAACGCAACCGTCAACCTAAGAAAAATAACATACGAAGAGCTACAAAGTACAATAAATCGAAGAAAATGTGAACATGTTATTACTTTGTCACAGTGAAAGTATTAGCCACTCCATACATTTTTATTCGTTACTATAATGGTAAGGTATAAATCTGTTTATATATATTGCTCACCATCCGTGATCCCAAATAATGGGATAAAAGCAAGACAATGATAATGTTGATATTGCTAACCATCGAAGTTTTCTTGCTTATTGTTGTATAAACTAGATATAACATTTTAATCGCCTTCAAAATTAAGAGGTATTGTAAAGTGCATTTTATAGTAACGGGACATAATCGAAAATTCTACGATGGATCAGATAATTTGTTTTAATATTCACAGATCAAAAAATATATAGTAATCATCAAAATAATGCAATATGCAAATAAATTATACATTAAGTCCTTTCAATTGAGTATTAATTTTTAGCAGCGATATATAACATATCTATTAATTAACAATTAGGTTTCCATAAAAATCTGTAAAATATTATTTACCTGATATATCTCTTGAGTAGAAGCATAAAAACATTTGGCATTCTCTTTAATTTTGTAATAGCAGTTGCTAAGAGAAACCCTGAGAGGAAGAAGTAAGTGTCTACAAACAGATCATCGTGCACCACGAACATCCCCGTGGTTGATAGAGCATCCTTTAAAAAATATATTTCTATGTATAACAAATTTTTAGTAACAACTAATATACACTAATTATCAAAATCTTTATTAAATAAATTATATCCACATTAAAGACACCAACTTATTATTTATAATATTAGAAGATAATTCTTTGAAAAGTTGCATCTGTATATAAAATTTTACATTGAACTAATGAACTTATTACTTACACGATCAACTTCCAACCCATTACTAATTGGTCCTGCATTCTGGATGCCTATCTGATGGTCCATCACTATGAAGCAAATAGTCAAGAAACGAATGCCATATAGAACTTCGGTGCCTTCCTTATTAACCTTCAATAAATCCTTTGCATTTTTTCTTAAACAAAATACCTTTATGATATTGTTCACTGAAAATATTAAATAATTTTTATTATAAAACTTTGGTATATATTATGTAGGGGGGAGGGGATTGCCTTCAGGGTTACGGAAGAATAATCTTCCGTTCACACATTCTCGTGACTCTGATAAAAGGTTAAGAAAAGGACACAGACAACAGCTTGGAGTCCGGCAGTACCCATTTACCTCCTCCGGGGCGGCAGGAAAAACCTTATGGAGATCTTCCATAAGGATTTTCCTTTCAAGTTAAAAAGACGGGATTAGTAGTCCCATGGTTAGCAATGTAGGGTTTAATTCCTGATGAATTCGCCACGAGGAGCTAACTGACATGATTTCATGATAATCTTATCATTCTTCCCTGGTATTCCACTAGTGCATTCTGTTAGCGTAGGCGGATGAAGTATATATATATTATTATTTATTTATACTAAAAATAGTATCCTTACTAGTAGAATTATCTTTCTTTCCGTTATTTAGAATTGTACAAATGCAGCATACTGTTACTAAAAGCGTCAGGATAATCCTGAAAGAAAAAGTTAATTTATTAGTAATTAGATCTATATTGATAAGTGTTCGTAGAGCACGGAGCAAAAACACGTATCAAATTTTTACGTATAATGAATGAATTAAATTAATGACGATTTTTAAACTTATAAAAACAATCAAAATATTAGATAAATAGTAATGACTCATACGGACGGACTCGTTTTGACACATATCTCATGTATTATAATGACATGGCTGATATTAATTTAATGAAAATATTATCTAAGAAAATTGTAGACTAAGACATTGAAGAGACTAATGTTTGTTTTGAACTTTAATTGTTTGATTTTTTTAATATTTGATTATGGAACTACTCTGCATATACGGGTACATATATGGTGGTGAGCTATGAAGATCTTCAGTAGACTAATTTCCATCAATGCAGACAATTTCGGTTGTGAATTCACTTAAAAACAATCTAGGTATATAATATTCGTTTTTAATTAATTTTTATGATAATCTTTTCAGCTATTTTTAACTTTTGCTCGATTTGTACTAACATAAAGTTAAAAAAAACGACGTACAATAGAAACTGTATATAAAGACATTCAAGGAAACATGAAATGTGTCTACGTCTGACCATACATTGAGTCTTTATAAACAATATATATAATTATTTCATTGATTCAATATAGAATTTTTTTATGTAGTCGTTACAACAGATTCCTGGTTATTAAGGGTGGTTTAATCAGATTTGTACTGTATATGAATAAAAATTAAAATATACTAACATGAACGAAAAGAATAGTACGTCATACTCCCTGGAGTCGTTTATCTTTTGGCATGGCGTGTCTACTGCAATTCTTGGTCGAATGCCAGCAACTCCGAGGTGGCTGTGAGCGAGCATCGTCGATAGTAGACGTTCAACAGACTGCGATCCACAATTTGCAGGAACGCACACACCCCATGTTATTTCATTGAGAGCACGTGTGTTTGCTGGCCGGTGCTATACATAAATTAACAACAAGTAATACATATTTACAATAAAAAAAATTATCCTGGTAATATCATTCATTTATTTTAATAATAATAATAAGTCATCCACACCCGAGTTAAGCTAGCTAAAGTTCGTATTATAGGTATCTACTAGATAACTAATACAAATACATAGATATATATTTTTTTCTTAAATACATACATATCATATACCTAGAAAACACCGAAACCGATACAAACTATCATACTCGTGAACACAAATGTTCGTGTACCGTGCAAGGAGTCGAACCGACCGATCGAATCATCGGAAGTAAGGCAGTGTGCTAAACCAGGCCGTCATTTTATTTTATTTATTTATATGACGTCAATATACAAAATACATATGCATATACATAGACGTACTTAATGCTATACATTATTTTTTAACGGTTAACCACAGGTTACGCAGAGAAAAATTTTAGGCGGTGCAAATAAAAACAATAAGAAAGACAATATATCATAAACATACACGCGCATTTTCAAATAATAATAAAAAACATAAGTTTTTAAAATGAAACTGTATGTTTACAGGTGAAAAAATATAAATAATAATTAAAAAATATGTTTATAATGAACGTAAATTGTTACTATATTTTTACAACGCAATGTTACAATATGATAAAAAAACTGTAGCACTAACATTAAGTTTTGTATACATCACACATTTAATTTATATACTCGTAGTTCATAAAATTATTGCCTCTCTCTTGCATCTCTCTATTTTTTTAAAATAGAGATAAAGTTATACATTTTTATTTGTCAGGATAGTATTTTCTTTGCCATTTCATAACCACTTGTCATATGTGTAGTCCGAATTAAAATAAAGACAGGTAATATTAATTTTTATTATACTCTATGGCCAAGCGGGACAGAGCTAAAAGTCGGTATAAACAAGAGAGATCACAATTTAATTTTGAAACGTATAAAAAGCTTCGCAACATCTGCAACAGAATGTGTAGGGATGCTAAACGCCGATACATTCATTCAACTATACAAAACCTTAATCAGTCTCAAATTTGGAAATTTCTTCAATCACTAGGAGTGAGCAAGTCTACTGATTCTTTTAAAAGTAACTTGGACCTCAATGCTTTAAATAAGCACTTCTCTTCCTCACCTGTCACTCTTAGCAATCTCACTAAAGCTAATTCTATTTCAACTCTTTCAAGTCTTGCTCCACTCAATTGCCCTTCATTTACTTTCAGTGCAATACCAGTAGATGCTGTTAAGAAAATCCTTCTATCTTTTTCCTCTAAAGCCATCGGTAGTGACAACATAAGCCTTGATATGATCCTTCCTGTGTTGGATGACATTTTGCCAGTGCTTACTCACATTATTAACTTTTCACTCAGCAACAATGTCTTTCCATCACAATGGAAAAAGGCTTATGTCATACCAGTTCCCAAAACAAGTAATCCTACTTGTCTCTCCCAATTTCGTCCCATTTCTATTCTTCCTTTACTCTCCAAAGCTCTTGAATCCGTTGTCCATAATCAACTTTATACATATCTCTCCACCAATAACCTGTTATGTCCTTTCCAGTCAGGCTTCCGTCCCTTCCACAGCACTACTGGGGCGCTTCTTAATATTACAGAGGATATACGGCAGGCTATGGATGACACCAAATTGACTGCCATTATTTTATTGGACTTCAGCAGTGCATTCAACTCTGTTGATTTCGATATTCTCCTTGGTGCCCTCCGTGCCGTTAACATTTCAAATTCTGTTATAGAATGGTTCTCTTCTTTTCTTTTCGGTCGCCAGCAGTGTGTTAGAACCAGTGATGGTTCCTCAGACTGGACTTCTCTAACTGCTGGTGTACCTCAAGGCGGTGTACTCTCTCCTTTACTATTTTCAGTGTTTATTAACAATATTTCTCGAGTCATTACTTCTCCCTTCCATCTGTATGCAGATGATCTGCAGTTATACCGTCACTTCTCCTTGTCGGAAGTGACTCAAACAGTAGAAGCTTTAAACTGTGATCTCTTGAGTATTCAATCGTGGGCTAGATCTTTCGGTCTCATTATTAATCCGTCCAAATCCCAAGCCATGATTGTTGGTAGTAGCAGACTAAGGTACAAGTTGGATTGGTCTTTGGTACCCCCAATAATATACAACAACATTGAGATAGCGTACACTGACAAGGTTAAAAATTTAGGACTTATTTTGGATTGTACTATGTCATGGATTTCCCATGTCAACGAAATTAGTAGAAGAATACACTTTTCATATCACTCTCTCAAACGTCTCCAATATTTTCTTCCCTTCAGCACCAAAATTATGCTCGCGCAATCCATTTTACTTCCCATTCTTGACTATGCCGACGTTTGCTTCTTAGATATGACTGAGGAGCTTTTAAATAAACTAGAGCGCTTACAAAATTTAGCTATAAGATTTATCTTCAGTTTACGCAAATATGACCACGTTTCCGATTTCCGCGCTCGTTTAAAATGGCTCCCAATCCGTATTCGGCATAATGTGCATATCCTATCCATGCTCTATAATATTCTTAATAATCCTAATGCTCCCGCCTACCTTCGTTCCCGCTTTCAATTGTTACCCCCCTCTTCCCGTCCCAAACGCCTTTGCCAAAACCACTCGAGGATCCTTAAACTTCCTAACAGTAGAACTCAGTTTATGGGTAACTCCTTTTCGTTTCGTGCTGCTCAGCTATGGAATAATCTCCCTTTGGAGATTCAAAAAAGTCCATCTAGTGGTTCTTTTAAGAAAAAGTTAAAATCATATTACCTTTCTACTGCTATGTGATTAGTGTCATCATTGTATATATATCTTTGTAGTATTTATTGTTTGATTTAGTATATATTTATGGTTATTATATATTTATTATAAATGTAATTTTATTTGTTTAGGTATTCAAGTACATATTATATATTAATATATATATATATTTTTTTTTATCTTTATGTATATTGTATTAGTATCTGTATTTTGGACATTATATTTTTATGTTTAGTTTTAATTATTTTGACATTTTCATAAAAAATATAATTTGCACATTTTAACCCACTCAACACTTCCTATGCCACGCTCTATTGGGTTGACTGGAAGAGATCTCTTTTAGAGATAAGTCCTCCTTTGTTAACATTAGCTGTAATTAATTTACTTATAAATGTATTTAAGTGCAATAAAGAATATTTACATAAGAGAGATGATATATTAAACTGAAGAGATTACCTGCAAATAATCCAGTACAGATCCATAAGGATACTTCCATTCGTGACTTTTATTTCTCTTCTTTACAAAATGATCCGTCCTCTCTAAGACTATTTCTGACAAACAGTATTGTGTTTTCAGTTCAGGGTGAAGGTTAGACCAAGGCGTGTTAATACACTCATCGAAATTGCCAAGTTGATACCGATTTCCATACAAAAGTCCAAGAGGCTGGGACGATATAGAATCCCAATCTATTAAGTAGTTAATACAATATATTAATATTTTACTATTTAACTAATCATAAATGTAGAAACATAAATAAACACATTAACTTACTAAACACTGCCCACATAGTAAAATTTTGTAAACTTTTAATTAAAACTAGGGTTTGATTTAAACATGGCTCTTCGTCAGTTGTCCAATTCTGATTTTTCAAAGCAAACAAAACATCCTCTAAATAGATTCGACTATTTTCCTGTGATGGTATTTTCGGTGGCATTCGCAAATTATTTCTCTGTATTCCCTCATTCTTGGATGGGACATCTTTTATTAGAGTTGATAATTTCGTTGATGTTTCGTCTCTCATCTGTTTCATCATGTGGCATTTTGATATTGTAAGAATAAATAAAAACAATGACTTCATATTTACAGCAAGAATAGTGATGTTAAACTGAAGTTGGGACAAGAAGTAACTAACACTTTATGAGAACATCTTGCATAATTATTGTCAGGCAATCATCTCTAATTAGATGAGCTATTGTGATTATAATCTAAGGGAATAATAGTAAGGGCAACGTATTCGATTGTTCAGTCAATGCTTTAGTTATTTATTATGCATAGGTAATACGGTAATACTAATCTTGTACTTTAAATTAAGTTATTACCTGTACTCCGTATATAATAAGTCCATACAACTTTTATTTATATTTTTGTTTTCTATATACTTTTACAAAAATTTTATTATTCGTCAACTACGATCGCACACTCTATCACCCATCCTCACTTATAATATACTATCTTACATTCGGAAAGCGTAAAATTTGAAATACGTACCGAAATATCTACGAAGTCGACAGATAAATATTACGTCTACATCTACATTACGTCTTAAATTATTAGATTATTCTAGATTAATACAGCTGATGTATATTATTACTGTATACTTTTCTTTCTTATTATATTTTGTGTCTGTACTTGATAATATTGATGACTTGTCAATATCTCAGGTGGAATATCAAAGTAAATTAGCACCAAATAGAAAGTCGGTACTTTCTATTTGGTGCTAATTAAAATTTTATTAATCAATAATTTATTAATTTCATGAGTATGGATTGGTTGTTGTATTTTAAGCATTTTATTTTAGTGGAATTTTACTTATAAAACAAGTTCAGCTTAGCTTGGGACAAGATGGCGTTGTGTGAATTGTCCTGGGGGTTATTATTATTAATACATAATAAATTTATCGGTATTTTTTTAGTAAACCTACGTTTTAAATGGTTTGAACATAAATATATTTTAAGTATTTATAGCATAGATTTTTTATTGTTATGGCAATAATAGACAATTTATAACTTGCGTTCAAACCGGCTATTCATTCCGTTATATAAACATATTACAATAACAATATAATTTACACAGAGCAATCTAGTCCGAAGATAAGTAAAGCTTGTGTTATGTGTGACATTATTATTATTATATTTATGTGAAAATACTCAGACAAATACTAACAATCGTACTCATGAAAACAAACGAGGAATCGAACCCGATCGGACGAATCGGAAGTAAATCGATGTGCTCAACTGCTAGACTACCGATACCATCATTCATATTTTATTTGACATATAACAGACAAACTTTAAAAAATACTGTTTAAAGTTTGTCTGTTCAATCAGCAAAATCTACAGTCCATAATATTTTAAATTTTAATTATCCAACAACTTGTTTTCAATTTAGAATTAAAATATAAAAATAATTAATGTAAATAATAAAATATACTTTTGATTAATGATAAATACCTAATTGATAGAATTTTCTTAATTTTATAGGTAGGTACTGATATCGTAAAGTAATTAAAACATCTGATTATAATGGACATTTATTTAATAATAGTCTATGGTGATAAATATCTTAAGACACTACGTAATTACACTTTACTATTAACTACTTACCACAAAAACATAAAATCTACATATAATATAGGTAATATAATAATTACTACTCATTCAACAAACTACTCATTACATTGGGATCTAATAAAATATGCATTATTAATTATTTTTATGCAATCTTCTCTAATACTATAATAATAAGAATAAATAAAATATTTAAGTGTATTTTAAGATAATTTAAGTATTTGAATACTACATAATATAAATAAAATAAATATTTTAAACATTTAGTATAATGTAAGCATATTGAAAATAAACATCTATATTGACGATTCTAAATCTATACCATTTAATATGTTAAACATTAATTTTCTAACTTAAATAAAATAAAAGAAACACACAATATAGTAGGTTGTTACGTAAATAATTAATGTCAAATCTGAATGGTCCGTAAAAATATGTTAAATGAATTATTTACCTATTTATAAAAAATATATTTAAGTGACTTTGAAATATAATATTAACATAAAAAATATTATATCTGTAAGATGCTGAATTTATTATTGTGAAGACGCTTATTTTACAGATATAGGTATTGTACGAATGAACAGACAGATTTATTACAGTCGTAGGTAACTGGGTTGCAGTTTTTCCTACTGTTTTGTAACCCTAAAAATTCAGAATTTATTTTGAAAAATAATTATCAAAACTCTTTTAAATATTAAAATAAATTTCGGAATATTTAGTGAACCTAAAATATTAGTAATATATTAATTTTTAAAAAGACTGTTGCCCATTTTAAAATCCATTGTCCCACCATTGATACTGAAATACACAGCAAATATATAAATCAACATATTATTATATAGTTAAATAAAAGAAAGAAAATAATAATTACCTCATTATTTCTAAAATAATGCTATACTTAAAATATCTGGCGCCATTTTATATACAAAATTTTGGAACGCGTTGCAAAGAACACACTGACTAGATTTCACTCAATAGAGATTTATCTTATACTCTTATCACCTCGTACATTAAAAATAATAACTTACGATAGGTACACTTTCTTATTTACAATAATTATAAATTAAGTAATTAATTTTGAAATGTAAATATATTATGAAGAACAACACTAGTTTCTTGATATCTAGAGCACAAAATTTGAGTTGTATGCATAATTTTTATAAAAATGTTATAATATAATCGGATAGTTAAATTTATTATATCTTACATCATCGATTTGGTTGTAGTAGTCATATAATTAGATTGTTATTATCTACGTTATATGCAAGCAATTGAAAGTATTGGAATTAAAATTTAAAAGTCTGTCCGATCATTCTATTCTATTTTGCTCGATCTAATTTTCTTATAGCTGTGTGCTACTTATTTGACACATTTTTAATGTTTATATACACTGTTACTAATAGATATATTTAAAATATTCATTATAATACTAGATTATGAATTATTTTATACCATGCATTTTTTCCCCACTTACGAACGTAATTAATTATTCATAAAAGAAACATGTTAATATTACAATATGCGTGAACATTGTATTATATATAAATTTCGTTTACTAAACTTAGTTTACCTGGGCAACCGGGCTCACTAATTATTTTTCCTGGTATATGATTATTTTTAATTTGAGTCTTAAACTAAATACCTAAGTGTACGTACGTACTAAATGTATACTAGAAACTACATATATTTTTACAATAGTCTTTGACTATCTATAGTAATCTATACAAACATTATTAGGTAAAAGTATGTGATATTTGTATTAAACATTTTAAGTAAGTTTGCAACGTTGTTAATTATTTTTTCCACCGTATTAAATACATTCTAAATGAATTATCATCATTTCTACTATCGTGTTTATAAATATAAACTCTATTAATGAGTAACTAGACATCGTCGCAATCGATACAAAAAGATCTTTAGTTTGTTAATAAAAATGTCAATAGAAATTAATCTGATTATAACTACATTTAATTATTATAAAATTTTGTAATGAAACTAAATGTACAGAAAAGTGGAATCGATTTTTGCAGTACCCGAGAAATATTGTCTAAAACTTTCATAAACCAGATGAATTATTCAATTAAAATAAGTAAACTGATTAACTTTATTTATTATTTATTTTTTAAGGATATATATTTATCGACATCCAAAAAATTGCTTAATATATTAAATAGTTATTAATGTATAAATTCTTTGAAAACCACGTATGAGAATAGAACCTATTTTTAAATACTACATAATTTTTAATAATAGTTGACACAAGATTTATGAAATGGTAAATTAATTAAAACAGGAAAAATAATATATCGATTTGTGACTAGAAATTTAAATTAATATTTGACTTAGAATATTTTGACTATAATATACAAATGACTAGAAAAAGAAGGATTAAAATATTATGACGATCACAAGGTACAGTTTGACAACTACAATTCTTAACTGATGACTAGACTCTTATACTAGATTTAACCACACTCTGCAAAAAGAAGTATCCCTTTCTTTGTTTTATCAAATATTTCAAGGACTAATTATTTAATAATTAATTAAAAAAAAATGTCTTTAGGATATACCTAAAATACAAATAAAAACTTGGGGGACAGAGAGAACTAACTCCTGTTGTTATTATTAATTTATAGATTTAAAAAATAATATTATTTTTTATGACTAGTTTAACGACTAAAATGAGATCAAATATTATACAGACTGACTAGATTTTACTTATTTTTTAAATATTAACTATGAAATAGGTAATATTTAAAATAATTGTTATAATAATTTTTGAATTATATTAAATGTTGACTAGATTTATACATAAGTTTTTGGTATAAGAGTTATACAGGGTTAACAGTAAAGGTTACCTAGCCAAAAGGAAAAAGTAATGAAAACTGTATAAATTTCGCAAAGAAACAAAGTGAATATCTGAGAAAAAATATATATTATATATATTATATATCATATATATTATATATAATATATATGATATATAATATATATTTGTTCTTATATAAAATTATTATATAACGGCCTCCTTTTAATGTAATTGGAATGGCAAACAAGGTGATGGGAAGCGATATCCGTCGACATACATGAACAGCACCACATATATCACATTATCGTGTGATAACCATGATACCACTCATACGTTGCCATTCAAAATATGATTTATATGCTGTAATTTCAGTAAGCTTTATCATTAACCTTGTATCAATTAAAAATATTATACTAAGACTAGTTTTGAATAGAGATCAAACTGTTTAATATATAAAACATGACTAGATTTTGTCTAAACTAACATTTTAAATTGGTAAATATTTAAAGAATAATAATGACTAGTTATTAAAAGAGATCAAATTGTATCTTTATGAAATATGACTAGATTTCTCCGAAATAAACTATTTATTTGTATAAGAAAAGTTCGACTATATTTTTGTATTTTTTTTATTTTTAATTTTTTAATATAAGAATATCTTTGGTAATTGTTATTTTATGGCTAGAGAGAACGAAAAACAATTAAAATTATTGACGTACGTTTATGAGAAGATAAGTACTGTAGCATAGAGATACTACATCTGCCAGATAGTTCTGAACTAAGCAGAGTTATTACTTGATTATTTCCGCGTTACAGGTGACCTTTTCATGTCAGTCTATTGTTGGAACTTGTAACTTAGGCAGTGAAATAGGCATGGTGGTTAGGCGATGTCCCACTTACATACAGACTGGACTCAATTCCGATGAACAGCTATCACTGAAAACTTTATGAGGGAGTGGCGTGCATCTAAAAATATGCCTATGCATCGATTGCGACGACCCTTTCACAAGTCGCGGATCGAAACTATATGATGATGATGATAGCAACGTCTGAATTAATTATTGTATATTGACTGGGTGCCCGTAAATAACTTGAAATTTGATCAAAATTTGATTTTCATCCAAATCTATAGATTAATTTTCGACATTTTGTTCTTATTGTACCAACATATGACTTTTGAAAAGAGATCACAAATATTATATAATTTATTTCTTCGATCTGTAGATATTATTACTTGTAAAATGTGATTTGATTGGATTTTAATATTATGTATATAAATAAAAATTGAAATATTATAAACCCGTGTACTCTTCGGTATGGTGATCTATCTAAAAGTTAACAACGTTGCAAACGATCTAAGAGAACTAATTAAAATCTAGATAGGTAAGCGTTTTAGCTAATATATAAGTAAAAGGTACTTGTAACAAATACCTTTACATTAAATATGTTACTTATACCTTAATTAATAAATATTAATTTAATGTGATAATAAAAATTAATACTAATACTTACATGCCATGTTTAACAAGCTTTAAATAAGTGAAATTTGGAATGTTGCTGTAGGAGATCACAGTTATATTTACAATACAAATATCCTTGTAATAACATACTAAATATATTAGCTACGTGATATGTACATGTTATATTACAAAGTGTGTATATAATTCTTAGAATTAAAAGCTAAGATGAAGATAATAAATAAAGGTTTATTTACCTGATATTTAAACGTCAATAGAAAAAATAATTGATAGCAATAAATGCATAGATATAAATATTAAAAGAAATTGTTTAGGATGTTTCTGCTTATTTAAGTAAACAATTATTTAAGTAGATCAACTCTGGACAGTGAAAGGGTAAGGTACTTGGTTAAAAATATAGATATAACACTCAATCAAATAGCTCAGAGACGAGGCTTAGAAACCTATTAATTTAATGTGGAAATCTAAAATTGATGCGAATAATGTGTTTTTTATAACAGTATATACTACATCTAACCATGATATGTGATTAATAGCTACGACTTTTAAATCTGTTATATAATAACAATACTAAACGCTCATCATATATATTTTTCTAAGAAAAATACAAGTGAGTGTCGTTAGTGTACGAAGATGTGTAGGCGTAAAGAGCATTAGGGAGAGGTGCATAAGTGGGGAATCGCGGCACTGGCCGCAATATGCGCCGTCACCCATCTCCTAAACCCCCACCTTCATCTTCCGAGCCCGTTACATCCAGACTCCTCGAGTCTTCTGAGGAACAGGACGATACGCACCGAGGGCGGAGCTCCTCCCAGTTCATCTCTTGCTGAGGTGGTGGTATCTTGTTCCAAAACGTGTTGAAATTGCTGTCACGATTTGGTTCCTATTTAGAGAACAGGAAGTATTAAAGTCAAATCTGTGCAATATAATTATTTGGACCCAAAAAAAATCCCAATTAATGAATTAGCTATATATTACGTTAAGTTATTAATTTTGTTACTTTGCCAATTTCTATTGTATTATGAGTATCAATAGGCTATTCGAGAGAACACAAATATTTGCACTACAATATATTTATATGTACAGTGTCTTAAGTTAATAGAGTAATAATGATGAAATATCGTGCCACGTAAATTGTTCGTTATCGTATAGAGAATTGATTATAGTAGTAGGATGGTCTAATGATGCCAAGAATTTTTTACCATTACTAACCGATTGGAAAGTAGAATATTCCGCCTGAACCTGCCTAAATGCAGATGGTTCCTTTTCGGGCTCGTTTTCAGGCTGCTCGTGGGCTAAGAGATGTTTTCTCAGATAGGCTTGTCTTCTGAACAACTTTCCACATTGCTGACAAGGAAAGCGGCCGGGATCTGTGGATGGTGCTTCTCTGCGTTTGGTGGCACCAGGGACTCGGGGCTTGTGCCAACGTCGGTGAGATGCTAAATTCGCTGGACAGTTGAATACCTAAAGTAATAGATTTTGGTATGAAACTTTTGCCTACTGATAGACGAGAAATAAGATTAAATTAAGAATATGATACGATATACTAAAAAAAATTAAGCTTTACAATTAGATGATAGTTATATAATATAATTATATAATACATTACGTGGTATGTTTTTTATTATTCGCTAAAGTTTCAAATATTTCAATACTTTGTAAATTAGACATCAAATTATGTATAGGTTACTCGTAGTTACATTTCTTGGTGGGTATTAGTAACTATAGTGTGTATTAAACAATTTGTTTGCAAAATAATAAGGAAGTTTATTACTAAGAGATAATAATGAATATAATATTTTTTATAGAAAACGATATATTATTATAAAAGCATTATAAAAATAAAAGATAAAATAGATATGATAGATGCAAATCAATATGTATAATTTATGTACATGATAGTCTCATGTTAGATATTGTTAATATTAAATATTTCACCATCATAATAGATAACTATAGATAATTTTTACCGTCACGCATCACGTAACGTATCAATTAACAAGTATAAACATTTCGCGGCCACTTGTGGTAAAACGCTTCCCATGGAAATATGCCAAGTGTTTACAATAGCCCCCACCCCTCATAAGTTCCCACACAAAACTATTTGAGCGATATATTTTAGATGTCACGTTATCCAATATAGAAAAAGGGAATGGTTATGATGTAGATAAAGAGAATTTAATTGATGATAAATAAATTGGGAAACAATATGAGGAACAAATGAATGTTTCGTTTATTGGTCACGTCAATTACCTTATCACATTCCGGACATCTGTATTCGATATGAACAATCCTTGAGCATCTATGCTGCGCCAAAGCAAATGCATCGCTGTAGAGTCTTCGGCATAATCTACAGATGTACCTTCCAAGACGGTTCTCAATACTTGCTATCAATGCTTTTGCTTCATCGGTCACTTCAACCACATTAAAAGCTGGATCAATGTCACCCTACAAAAATTCAATCTTGATTAGTCAAACCAAAGGTCTGTTTATTACATTCGTGAACATTACGACTATTAAGTAATAACATACTATTTACCTTCTTTTATTACTTTTAAATTGAACGTTGCTGTTCACTATCTCAATTCAAAGAAATAGTATTGAGTTACAAACATTGAAACGACGATTTATATTGTCCTTAATGTCCCGTAGACACACCCCTAGGCTAAGCGTTGCGGCTTGCGTTTAAAGCTGTTATTAGGGCAAAAACGCAACATAATACGCGATTTCATACTTGTTTAATTGCCAAAGCGATAAGAATAGCTGCCTTGCGACTTATAGTAATGCTATGGCAAGAACTTCTAATTAATAGTTCCTGTGCACTTTCCTATTAATATTTAACGTAATAGATGGCGACTTGGTTTATTACAAAATATTGTTTTACCTAAACAATGTTTTGTAATAAACCAAGTATAACGATGGTATCAGTGAAAAGAAATATAATTATTACCTTTCTCACTACAAGCGTCTCATCCTCTTCTAAATCACGTATAATCGTTCCAGATACTGGCGAAGTCTTATCTTCATCAAACATTAATCTTCTAACTGCTTTACTTTTCTTTAGAGGTTGAGTGGTCGGTTTTGGTGATTTTCTAGGACGTTCTTCAACATCTTTTATCTCTACAATACAAGGAGAACTTCTTTCGCCTTTTGTTGGTATTTCTGATTCTGGTGGAAGGCAGGTTTTAAGTTCGTCAAAAAATCTTTTGGTAAATTTTAGTTTCTTAGCTTCTGGACTATCACTGTCATTTGAATTTTCTTCCACCCTTTTATTCTTCTCTAATGTCTCTTCAGCTTCGGTTTTATTTTCTGTGTCATCTTCAAAGTGTCGAAAAATTTTTGTCGCCTTTGAAGTTTTATCATCACATATTTTTCTTTTTTGTATAGGTGGCGGTGTACAAGGCGGAGTGATTGGCGTAGTAGGTTTAAGGGATAAATCGAGAGGTACAAGAGGTTCATTGTAATAGGCTAAATATTGTTGAAGTAGTGTTGGATGCTGTTGAGGAAGGAGATCATGGACATAATCGTTGGGTAAACGGACTGGCGGCGAAAGATAATGTTGATAAAATCGTGATGATGTAAGTCGATGAAAGTGTGGTAATGGCGCTTCCATATTCATTTTGTTACAGGATTCATTATTATGCGTTTTTGACTGTTGAAGTTTTCATCCTTATTAATCTACAACAAATAAAAAAATATATAAAAATATAATTCCATAATAAAACAGATAAATAATACATTATTTGAAAGATAAAAATACAAAAGGATAAAGTCAGCAGCGACTGGTTCAAGAGTACTACAGCCGTCCATTTCTCTGATTGTATTAGATTCCGATCGCAGTTCGCATGGGAAAATTGCTGTCTTGTGATTTGTTTTTTTATGTTGTATATATTTATCAGGTGAGTATTTACACTTCAAAAATGGTACGTATATTGTAGTCTAATCTAAGAAATACTTTGAAAGTATAAACAAAACTTTCTATTGAGTTTTTAGTATTATCTTTTACTTAAGTCAAGAAAATCATTTTTCGTCACTGTATTTAAATACTATATTCTTACACTATTATATAACCATTAATTCGCCAAATTCTATTCAATAAACGATTTGTTAAATTATAGTTAGTTTTCAGCTATTTAGATTAATGATTGAAACATTTGTCATCACAAACACATCTAACAATACATATATAAAATAGAACACAATCGAACATTCCTATTCTTTCTTTAATTCTAAGAATTGTAGAAAGCTATTCGGTATGTTTGTTCTATTATAGATTAAAAATGTACTTATTTATGTAATTATTCTTGTGTAAAGAATATAAACAAATTGTCCTGGTAGAAAATTGAATGCCTGATGGCATTATTGACATATCGACCGTCGCGCTGAACAGTGTGCTTAGGCGGTGTATGATATTAATTTTATTTTTCATTTCACTCGTGCGATGCTTCGCTTTTTTTTCATTTTATGTGTGATATGCTTGTATTTTACATATAAACCTTTGTCTTAAAGCACGCTATGTGTTGCTGAAAACTAGTAAATTGACCTTTGTTCTATAATTTAATAGATCTAAGCGAACGCCGATTGTACGGTACCAATACAGGATAGATTATGCTATTCAATAATCAGACAGATATGTAAATATAAATTAATTCTTGTTTAGGAATATATTACCATAAAATGGCTTTAAACGAAAAATAAATCTAATATTGAATAGCAAAATCTATCCTGTATTGGTACCGGACAATCGGCGAGGGTAAACCGAGGACTTTTGCCCTTACTACCTAATTAAGGGCGACAACCGACGTGACGCCGGGACCGCGGCTCCCACGCTCCCTACCTCCCCCAAAAGGGACGTTTTCTGTTTATTTTTTTTATGTAGGTAAGTACTTTGGTTTTGTATGAATAAATTATCCATGCTAATATTTAAACCTCGTAAGTCTGTGTTTGTCTCGTAAGCCCTTTACATGATTAAACGGATACCAATGTTTGACGTAAAGACACATTGCATCACGTAAACAGACATAGGCTATCCTTTGCCTCTAAAAAAGGATATGAGAATAATCAACGCCTACATGTGTTAGGTTATAGGGTTTACTCCTCTCAAGTTGTTCCAATAACACAATTACCACGGGATTTTATTTTGCTAACAATATCTACTTACTTATATTTGAAAACTATTATATTGTTTGTCATTCTAAATTTTATATTATTTTAAGAAGGGTTAAATATATGTATTACGTATGTACGTACGTTTTGACTATTAAAAGTACAAAAAAAGCGGGTTAATACAGTCAGCTTATTATCACCAATACAATGTAAAGTAGTACATCATATAGTAATAATGATTCATTTAAAATTTAAAAAATCTTATAATTTATTAAATTAATAAAAATTATCTAATACCATCTTAATTTAAAATAAAAAAAAATATAATATTATTTTAAAGTACAACACACATATAGGTAGGTATATAAACTAAAGATATCAAAGTCGAGTTTACTTTACTTTACTTAACCATTAGAAATATGTATTGAACAAAGACACTTACAATATGATATTAATGTACATATATAGATATTCTACTAGGTACTATACCAGTCTATTCTACTTAAATAATCTATGTATATTAGTAAGCTAGAGGTATGATTTGTTGAATATGTAATCGCAAATAGACATGTACATTATAAATTCCGCCCAAATCCCGTCGGCGGGGCTGGGCGGATTGAATAATTTTGGTTATTTCATGGGGCGGACGTGTGATGGAGGCGTGGCTCTTAATACGAGTGTCTCGTACTAAGCGTTATGCATTGTATTTTATATTATTAGATTATATAATTTCATATTAATACTTCTTAGACTAGATATTTCTTGCCGATGAAAACCTAATCAAAACTACAGTCTTTTTATATAAAATTTATCATATAAATATCGCGAAATATAAACAGAAGTCACTCTGTATTAACGGTACTGAAAGCCGACAGAAAGTCAAAAATAAATCTTTTAAAAGAAAAATGATTCGTAATAATTCTTAAGCATTATTTAGCGTACTTTATAAGATAAACATTATTTTGTTAGCATATATTTAGCATCGTATAATAATCTAGACACGCGGGAGCGTGTCAAAGCCGAGTTCATAATATAATATTGGGTTTACTTCCGTGTAGATTCCATACAAAATTTAATGCAGCTATATTTATTTTTTAATTTAAGTTAATATTAATGCGAATGTGAATCTTTCTGTTTTTTTTTTTCATTTAGTTGCGTAAAGCTAAAAAACATTGGAACAGATTTTAATAAAATTCATATGAATATAGATTTTAGAGGAGGACGGACATATATTTTATCACAAAAAAGCAGACGTAGACGCGGGTACCAGCCAGTGTAAGATAAACTTCTCTATATTTCTATATTAATTATCTTAAAAAAATATTTTCTTTCATAATTGAATAATTTACAAAGATTTATACCAGTTATTATAATTTACAATGCGGGATTACAGACATTTCTCTGAAAGTACACAAACGCCCTTAGTAATACATTCAATGACAAGAATCTAGTATTATTTAAGAGGTATAATTAAGTCGATTGGAGGTGTGAATTCATCGTCGACTATATAATTGTAGGGTTCGGCTGATCGGCACAATAAATAATTCATAATACATAATACTCTATTTCTAACTAAATTGAAATGGACTATGGGTTGTTGTTGACTACTACATAACCAACTGAGTCCGCGACTTCGTATGAGCATTACCTTTTTATTAATAAAGTAATTGGAAAAATATAAACAAAAAATTTTAAGTGAAGCTTACACTATATTACTAATATTAGCCAATCGCACTCAAATCCTTTAAGCCGTTTCTAAGAATAACGTCTATAAACGTATAGACAAAATATTAACAATTATCATTTTTGTTTCTATTAATTACATTGATCAGTCATACATTATACAGTCCCGCAAAAATAGTTTTTCTAATACATCTTTTCTTAACAGAGAGCGATCATTTATTTTTATTATAGGCATAAGTGAATGAATTGGTTGTAATATCATCATTAGGTATATTTATTTAAACTTTATTGACCAATAAAATATGGTGCAAAAGGCGGAGTTAACTATAGGCATTATCTTCCATACTTGATTTATCTATTACATTTATAAGTACGATCCATATCACACAAAGCTTAGTCTATCCCCAACTAAGAAAGAATTTGGGGTGCGATGCAGGGTTCGAACCCACGACCATAGAAAATTAGCTGATAGCAGAAAATAATGCCAACAACTCCAAAACTAGCAACAACATACAAATCAGATCACAGACTATTTTTAGAATTGATATCCGTTTATTTATTACGTCATGATAAAGAAATTGGTTTCAACAGCATTTTGTCATAGCCCTAAACTGGATAAGATCATGTATTCAAATAACAAGAAATGCAATTACATCTGATGGAGCCGAAATTTCAGAGTCTATAGGTCTATATCTTATTTTACAATAGTTCTATGTATATTTTAAAACACTAAGAAAGGATTATTTAAACAAACCAGGATATGAAATAAAATTAAATGATATTATCGTCATAATTAATGTTCGCTAAATTTTGAATCAAAATTCACTTACATCGTATTACAAATTTAGTTAAAATTAAAGTAATTTTTAATAGATCAAAATCTGCAACTGCATTTAGAAATTGAAAGAATGTTTACTAAGTGACAATAAGCGAGATTAAAGTAAAATGCACTACAACCCCTTCTAATCTTTGAAACAGTATCAAAATTAAAGCGGGGTCAGCGTGCTTTCGCAATCTCAACTCAGGTGCGTACGTAGGGTGTTACTATGGCGAGAGAACTTTATGTGACTCATACCTGGTGTTTGGTCCACGCTGAGTCAGCCGGCGACACCCCTGCTCCACCACAAGTTAAGTTAAAAAAATGTAATTTATAATTAGAATGTAAAAATTTAAAAGACTAAAATACTAATTATTTGTTTCAGAATTCGAAAATTAAAAGTTTACGATCTCGTAATGGTATTGATAGGGGTGCGCGGTTGTCCGCACGGCAGGGCGGTCGAGACAGGACTGACGGGTTGTTGCAGGGTGCGCACCCTGGCTCGTGCGGTGGCACGGGCCACACGAACCCCCATATAGGTTGTTCCAAAATTGAAAATTAACTCGTGACATAAAAATATTATATCCAATTAAAAATATATATGTATACCTGGACTTACAAATAAGCAGGCGGTTCACCTGATATTATTCCTGTTAGGACTACGGTGTAATTTAGGTTTCTGTAATTTTAGTTCGTAGTTACACTAATATTTACGTACGTACTGGCTCCTTTATTTAATTACCGGTACATACTTTGACTTACAGAAAGCAAATTCATCAGCATTACTAATAGATAGATATGTTACATTATATTAGTATTTAATAATTGTGTGTAAAGAAAATCCTATTCTTTCCATGTGTACAAGCTACGACAATTTTAGAGATTGTTGCATCAAAAGAATCTTAATTGTTTGTCACAATTTAAATTCTATATGAAAGTGCGATATTTTTCAGGAAAGTTAAAAAAAGTTTTTCATAAATATATTAGTAATAGAACAGCCTGTATACACCAGTGAAGCGTATCCACGTACGGCCCAACAATTCCTAATGCGGACCCCTATACAATGCGCTACAAGTGTTTACCACGATTTTTTCAACGCTAACTACACCGGCCTAAGTGTAGGTACGTCGACGTGACATTCACAGAGATAAAGCCCGCACCTCCTGAGTTGCTACTCTGTGTTCTCATATCACACACACTTCACAGTATACCTCTATTCGTATCAAATCGACATTTATTTTAAGCAATGCTTTATTATTTACATTGTTTAGTAATATCTAAATTAATCATAATTTAATACATATTATTAAAGCACTTTTCTAAGACAATTGTAAAATATAATAGTGGCATAATGATTATATTCTCATTAACAGATGTCAGCCAAGCAATTATCATTAGCGATTCGCCAAAATTATTATAAAATTTGCTTAAAGCGTTCAACTCAATTGCATGGCTTTATTTTCTTATTTATTTCTTATGGATCTGATCACTCTAATTAGGAATATTGTCCCGATAGTAACAAATGTTAAAATTTGGATTACAAATGCTAAAAAGACAATAATTTCAATAAATACACTATTTCATCTTAATGTTAGAAATAAACAAGTTATGACCATGTTAATAAAGATATTTATATAAGCATTCTAATTTGTAATTCATGATTCATCCAATGGATTCCGACATTTTCTAACGTTGATTCATGACGTAACAAACATACAGACATTTACTTACTTTGGAATACACTGATCTATCTATCTATATGATATCAGTACACGTAGAGAAAAGTGTTCTACAACGTTCATAAACCATAGTTGTAAATAAAAATACAAATAGTAGTGGACAAATAAGAAACTCTGAACTTGACAATATTCAAGGTGGTTTTTTTATAACACTTTTATGTAATTGTTTGTTGAAATGATGATGGTATTAGTGATGGAATTTCTATTATTAGAATAGAATAACTATTTCATTCAAGTGTTTTAATTTTTTATTCATTCCAGAAAGCGCAAATTGGTTATCTACGTCAATTAATATCATTTGTTACATTATATCTAACCTACTCAATTGCATTGAATTTTGATAAACGTTTTGTAAAACCCTAATCATTATATGTTATGGAATGGAAAATGAGCGTAACACAGGTCACCTAATGAGGAAAGTAACTATCATTTGTTAATATGAACGGCATTGTAGATATCAGTAAAATTCACAACGATGTCCACGCATCCCTATGTTTCTATTCTTAAGGGTCTTTACATACGTTATTCCAATGTACACAATAATTTCATTGCCATATTATCCCTTGAAGTAAAGGGAAAGACGGAGATACTTTGTACAGTCTTAAGCTGTTTACGAATATAGAATATTATAGTTACAAAATAATAATATCATATAGATTTTATTATTTATATTTAGGAATGGTTTTATTCCTGTTTTCTTGTGTTTTTTTTTTCAAAATATTAATTATAAATAATAAGTTACATTGAGTTATATTTAGAATATCCTGTATTGTGCGGGAAAAGGAAATCTGTTGGGCGGATCTGGCTGCCGCCCAGCCCAACCGCGCCGCCCAATCAACTCGTAGCCCGCCCACCTTCTGCCGCCCAACAAGAATAATTGAATGTAATCGAATCACTCTTGATTCAATTAGCTGGAGGCTAATGATTCTGTTTGTTTCCAGTTTCTCAACACGTATAGTGATGTAACATGATTTTGTAACGAAGTTGTTAGACAGATAATTACTATGTATTGTTGTAAGGAAATATACTAGCGATGAATGAGCAATCACTATAGTACTCATAACTTAGTAATTACAGTCGGTAGTATGTCGTTAATAGTTTTATATGTTTATAATTGTTTTTCGACCAGTTATAAAAGAGAGAAGGTTCTCAATTCGACTGATATAACTTTATAGCGTTATGGCTTAAATATATAAAATTAATAAAACTTTAAAAATATGATTGCGATGTTTATTTTTATATAATATTTTATTATATAATTAATTATTGAATTGTATTATTAAATTATTTTAGTAAATAAATCTTTTTCGTTTTATAAGTGTGTTTTGTTTTGCATCATATAAAAATTCGAATGGTTCGAGTTACTATGATGTGTAATTATAATAAAATGTAAAGGTATTATTTGAGGTTAGTCTAAAAAATTTTTATTTTAGATCAACTTTTTCTAACTTTATAACTAAAACTCTTATTTGCAAATTATTTTATATCGAACATGATATAGTATAAGCGAATGAAGACATAAAATATATGTATTTAGAATATTTTCCACACTTTATAACGTTTGTGTCTTCCTGTTTCATACGTCATATTATGATAAGTGTACTTAAAAACTGTTCGTAGTAAATCCTTATGGAGCGTCCGGCTACTATTTGCTTTTTATCTTAGATCGTAAAGCCATTATCTTTAGTTATAAAATCGATCGAATAACTTATAAATTGCGGATAGATTTAAGTATAGCGGAACAGCGAAGCCCCACTCACGCACGTGCCGGAAGGGCTGCGTCGGCGCATCCTATCTGGTGTCATTTACGAGTACCCTGTGTAATTAAATAAGTATACTTGCAGCTTGCTATATATCGATTACTAAGTGCTAAGCAATTTATTTCATGAGAGGTTTCAATTATTACTGCTAGTATTTTATTTAGTATATACTGCTAGTAAACCATATTTTCAAACCCCTTGAATGAATTTCTATTTCGTAATAATTTTTATTACAACTGCCATTGTAAACAAGCCTGTCCCATCATGATTAATTCACCTGGAATTGACTAAGATGGTTTTCATAAGGAACCGTGTGGAGATTACCTGACGGTACATTGTTGATATTGGGGTCTAGTGGCTCTACATTACTAATAAGTATTAAGATGAAAATAGTAACAGCTAGAAGGGAGGGCCTTCTAGCTGTTACTGTCATCTTAATACGTGTGGGAAGCTACAATTAATATAGATAACAAACGTGAAAATTTAAATGTAACATGCATTGGAATAGGGAACAACACCCCTGTGAGATGCGTGGGAAGAGCAGGTGATCCGTCACGCCGGTAGCTCTTTATCTGCTACATTCAGCCCATTTTGACATTTAATTTTCTCACAATCCTTGTCAGTATCATCAGGTAACTGTCGATTTTGTACATTATGCCATTTCGCATCTTTTTATATCCATGTTTTTTGTTATTGTAATGGAAAACAAGCTGACGTTGAACAATTAAAATATAACAGCAGTTGTACCACTCATGCGTTCCCTTTTCAAAGGACTCTTATTTCATGCCCCTAATCATGTAATTTCACCTAATCTGTAATCTGGAACCGAAACATAGCATAGCAAGCTGCTTGATAGTTGAAAGAGGTGAATCGGCTAAAGAATCCAAGTAGATGACTTCTTACAGTCTACCTACACTAACAACGTATTAATTCCGTATTGAAATAAGTAACTTAATTGTTATTAATTTATTTGGTTTGTCTTAATGAAGATTAGAACACAAAAAAGAGGTACAAAACTGAATTGATTTAATATTATTAGCGCAAGAGTAAGTATTCTTATATATCTAGTTATCGCCAGTCGAGTCTTGTCGATTTTTTCAACCATGGCGGGCATAATTTTAATACGCTTTGTTCTAAACGTTTCAGGGTTGATTTTTTATCAAACCTCTATGCTTATATATGTGTATATATAATATATTCCGAAATAGTCCATTTTCTAATATTTAGTCTACGTCTATAATAATTATTTTGTCAAACTGTAGTTTTTTCATATAACTATAGAGTTACTCAATAGTTGTCAACTGTATAAGTTTGATTGAATGGTGAATTTTGATTTGACACTATAATCATATTATGTAAATACAACATTTCTTACAGAAAATATTTTTTTAAATAAAATAGTAAATGAATTTTATGTACACATTTAAAAGGTATTATAGTTAAAAGCGTGGGAATATCAGATTCCATTCTACTTCGGAAGGATGTGTGTAGTGTAGTGTACACCGAACACACCTTTTGTTTCCTCTTTGTTTCAATATTCCAATGGGGCTGCCTTAATGGTTGTTGTGTGACTATGAGAAACTGCCCAGTCTATTATTTTGCAGTACCTACTCGATCACCACAGCGCATGCTTACAAAGTGATAATCGAATTTTATTTTGTTTTAAATTTTATAAACATAAATTGCTTTTCATTTCTTACATAAATATAAAAATAGAAATGAATTCAAATTTGTACATATATTATACAAAAGTCTTACATAAGTCAATGGCACTCAGTTCTCTTTATTTACCGCGCAAGCGCTCTCGCATGAAGACA